TGATATAAAAATTAGATTTTTGTCCGACATGTAAATAAAATCTATATGAAAAATACTGATGTTAGCTCTGCCAACCTCAACTAGTTCTTATATTTAATTCTCTTCGCCACGTTTGCTAAATTCAGCCATTGTTCATAAAGATTCCTTTGTCTATTTATTATAATTTTTTTCTACTTTGACCTTAGTCTTCCAATTTATATTAATATAAAATATAATGTAATATATTAAAATATCAAATCAAGTCTAATATCATAATCTAATTTATATAATGTCAATTTCAGCCAAAATTAATTTTATGATCGCTATACCAGGTAATATTTTTTGTTGAATTTTTATGAACATATTTCATTCCTATTAAACTTTCTAAAAAGATTCTTATTGAACTGAATATCCGGCGGAGGACATTTCTTCCGAGTTGGTTCTACTTTTCTGTTATAATGATAAGAAATTAAATGCAATATCATAAATTTATGTAATGTTAATTTCAGACAATACGGACATTGTCAACTTTATACCGGGTAATACTTTTCATTGTAGGGTGAAGGAAGGTATTTTCGTGGCATAAGCAATTTCGTGATATAGTTTGTTGATCGTATCGCGTAATTCCCTATTAGAAAATTGTCTTGAAAATCACACTGATTGTTAAAATAACTGTGTTTTAACAATCAATGTGATTTTCAAGACAATTTTCTAATAGGGAATTACGCGATACGATCAACAAACTATATCACGAAATTGCTTATGCCACGAAAATACCTTCCTTCACCCTATATTATGGAATTGTTTCCGCTCAGTTGTGTGATATTCTTTAAGACCATAGGATTGTTGTTTTAATTTCAGGAATGGAATATCTTACCCCATTGACAAGTAACCACACTTGTATATTTATTACAGTCAACGTGTTTTTGTTGTTTATAAATACTTTGAGAATAACCATAATACGTACCTATTGACAAATACCAATAGGACATATTGGTGGAAAATATAAAAAAAATAAATAGGGAAATTAAAATATATTTAATTTTTAATTTTAGGATGCCTGCATCACCAGAATAATATGCAACATGAAATAATAAATACATTAAGTAAACATAAAATTAAAAAATTAATAACCATACATATTTATGGTCAAATATATAATGTATAAACCAGGTTTTATTTATTATACAATGATTTAATCTATTTGTTACAGGCATTACTATTCCTGAAGCTTATTATGGCCATGGTAATTTTAATATTTCGATAGTCGTAAATAGCCTTTAAAGTTTGTTTTAGAGATGAAATTCGCTTTAATTTATTTATTTAATGTTTGATGTCAACAACAATTTGAATAAAATAAACATTTTGTCGAAGATAGGGAGAGAGAGTGAGCTTCGTAACCAAATACGATGATATTTTGAACGTTATTGAACGATACGTTTATAAATACATTTTTACCTGTTCGCAATAAAAAAAACAAATTATAGCTACATATATATTCACAATTTACAACCTAAGAATTTAATACGCCATGGGTGTAGATATTTATTTTTTATTTTGGCATTGAGTGGTCTAATTCAAAAGAGAGGTATACCCCCTGAATTCTTTCGATCCTCGTCAACCTAAAATTGATGTTAAAGAGTAAGTAGTTTTTTGGGATTTCAAGTATAGAAATAATACGTTCGTTGAGTTTCAACACTAATGACTAAATGTACAAAACTATTTGTTATATCACAATGCTTTAAAATGTAATGCAATAATTATGTATCACTAGCACTAAAATATATTATATTTGCATAATTTCTTCACAATACGGTTATTTAATCATTTTCGCAGATTATAGAGACTTAAATTTAAAAGAACTTGCAGAACAGAGAAGGATTCTTGTTAAACCAGCTATAAAAAATATATTCAGACGGAAATTAGGTAAGTTGTAATATGCAGTAGTATGAATATATACATAAATTTGTTAAAAGATCAACACACTGTGTTACTGTTCTACTGTTGTAATATGTTGCTGCATTGTGTAATATATCCTAACATCCATTCAAACTCAAAACTATTTTACAAAAAATGTCAGTTGAAATCTTTATCCACTCACCCCTTCATGTAGTAACCAGTAAGATTCTATTGACAAATACTAATATGACATACTGATTTTAACTATAAAACATATTATGTAGGTACATTAAAATATATTTTGGTTTTTATTTTTAGGTCCCATGTATAACCAGTTTATGATGCAACTAGAAATAAGAGATACATTAAGTAAATATAAAATTCAATAAATTGTTTATTTTACATATATTTTGTACTTCTAAAATAGTTTTATAAATAGTCATATAGCTTTAAATAAGTAAAAAGCGGGCCCCCGAGCATCTCCTGGTGGCAAAAAAAAAAAAATTGTTTTTAATTGATGAGTCTTATCACTAAACCTAAACTTACTTAATATAACTGATAAGCGATTATATATAACATTGCTGCCAACCTAACCTAACCTAACTGCGCTAAGAGACAACAGTGTTGCCTGACCTGAACGTGTCGTATCGTACCAAAGCGTATGTCGTAGTATATGTTAAGTAGGGTTAGACGATATAGTGTAATGTCGTCTGATTATACTGATTACATATTTAATTGTAATAAAATTATGTATCACAATTAACTAAAATATTTTTATTATTTCTTCACAACACAGTTTTTTAATAAACATTTTTGTAGATTTGGTAGGCTCAAATTTGACAGTCCTCGCAGAAGGGAGAAGAGTTACTGGAACATCTTTAGAAAATACAATCAGAAGTGCATTAGGTAAGTACTAGTATGGAGTTGTATGGGTTTTAGAGTGACTGTTATATTATAAAAAATATATATAACAGGTTTTATTGCACAATGCTTTGATGTATTTGTTACAGGAACTGAGACTACTGAAGTTTTTGAAGAACAAAGTAATTACTAAATTTCCGATAGTCGTGAATAGCTTTTAAAGCTTATTATAGAGTTGAAATTAATACTAAAAACGATACAGAGTATTAACTAGTAAGCTAATATTAGCAAATTTAAAAAAAAAATTAATTTTCAGATGGATCACCTGAACATGTTTTTTTATGGCGGTTGTGTCGTTTGATAGGATTATATATAAGCGTACAATTTCCAACATCATACATACAAACTTTTCGGACTGACCCCGATAATAATACTTGTAACCTGGACGATGGAACTACAATAAGAAGATTCAAAAAAATTAATGACGTATGGTGGCAACTAAGTGCAATTACTCGTGGAGCTGTATAATTTAGACCACGAAACAATTGAATATCTTCTTAAATTATATTGTTATATTATGGTAATAATATTTTTATACTGCACTAACACTATCAACTAATTAATGTATTTTATAATAAACAGTTTTACTTACATTTGTTGCTTATAATATGTAGTTTTAATCAGACACTTAATACTTTTTACCATATTATACAGAATATAATTAGAAACATTTTGAAAAATAAAAAAGTACTTATCCCCTACAAACATACACATCTGCAGCCATTTCGCCGTCTGGGGCGTCAAAGTGGTCTTCTTTCCAGACACTATTTTTCTGATATTACTATATCATTTAATTATTTTAATATTTTTACATCATTCCTTATGGGCGTGGTGGGGCGCAGTGGACACCTCAGCTGCCGCGTGGCACCTGAGGTTAAGCTGTGTCCGTTGCTGCTTGATCCCGGATGGGTAACCATAAATCCGAGTTATGAAGGATTATCGGTGTCTTTAGCCTGGCGAAAGTCATCCAAAGCGTTTCTAGCTTCAACGGGCTCAAATCCTAGGGGATTATCTGTTCCGTCATTGTCCGATTCGTTTCCATTAGTTGCATTGTTTTGTTCAATTTCTGTTATTTTTGCTTCCACCAGTTCTAACGCTTTCTCAATATTTTTTACAAAGTCTATTTGAAGGTTGCCACAGTCAATGCCATCTCGAACAGTATGTTTGAGGCCATTAAACGCTTCTGTGTACGTATTTTTCCCTGCTTTTAACTCAACAAGGTCCCGCCATGGATAGAACATAAGAAGGTAGGTAAAGTAGTACTTTTCTAGAAACTTGTCGAGGCCATATGCAGTGATTGTGATAAGATAAAGACGTTGTCATACTAAAGGTTTTTACGTTGTTCTATTACTACTGTTCAACAATCCCTGGGAAACTAGTCTAGTATTATAAACGAAACCTAAACGCGTACATAAAACAACACTTTATAGTTAACCATATGACATTTTTACTACGTTTATAAACATTTTAGTAATATTAAATGTTTTTGTAGTATAATATTTTGTTTTAAACACCGCTGAGAAAATTAGCTATTTTTTTAAAAAATATTTGCATGGTGTATACGTGTTCGTTTACTATAGGTACGACCTTATAAATCATTTTTATTAACGTTGTTAATTTAAAAAAAAAACGTCAGTTCGTTGTGTGACACTTGTCATGTATACACAAAAATATATAATTAATACCAACACGAATCACAGTACATATGAGCAAGTGACAATACCTAGATTTTTTAAGAAAATAACCTTTGGTCGTTTTTTATAATAGTTTTTGCTTACATAATAACGGAAATTGTATTTTGAAACAATGATTTTTAAAACGCCAAACTCCTATTATGGTGTACTAGAGTCGAAGAGCTCTAGGATAAAAAACGGAACTATTTAAATTTGACTTCATAAAGTAGGTACATATTTATATGCTTTACCCCCTTCGCTCCGGCAACACTTGGGGGGCCTTTTTAATTTAAGATAAAATATCTGTTTTTTAAGAAATGTTAGTATTAGTAAAAGACCGGCAGAAATGAGGTAATATTGTGTGCGGTTTAAATCGATTGACCTTAAGAAAAAAATATATCCAAACATATAGTTTGCACTCCTCGTCAATGTAATGTAAATACACCATGAGTCATATTAAAAAAAATAATGAACCCGCTGTGTAAATAAATTAATACATTTACACTGTAAAACCACGTTAGCTACTGATTTTTCGGTAAAAATGCAAGTCGCAAGAAGAACACTTATTTTCAGAAAGTTATCAAGTCAATTGTTGTCTAAGAAATTCTATTATTTCGACAATTTTAGTAAGTATTATTATGAAATTCTGAAATTTGTAATTACGCTTAAAATAAAAAGGCATGAGCGTATTGCATCAAAAGTTATAAGGAATGTGAAAAAAACAATAATAAGTTTTTTTTGTTGCTAGCTATTCGAATTATTTATTGTCTTTTGAACGTACGATTTTTTTTATATTTGTTACCAAATGCAATTACAAATATGACATTTTACACAACTCACATTTTAAAGATAATTTTATAATAGATTTTTAATATATTCATTCAAATTAATTTTCCCTTCTTAAAATCTAACATTAATAATAATATTTGGTTAAATACCTTTTTGTATTTTGTATTTTGATTAGTGCAAACTAACTTTTTTACACAATGCTATTAAAATAGTTAACATATAGTAAAGATATAAAATCTACTTGAACCCTAAACCATAAAAATTATACACTTTAATTATAAACGATGACAACATCGTTGTCGTAACACGTTTACGCAAGAAGTGTATAATTCTTATGGTTTAGGGTTCAAGTAGATTTTATATCTTTACTATATATTTAACCATAAGTTTGCTTAACAGTTTTTTCTAGATAGTTAACATAGACCAAATTCGTGTATTTTTCATTTATCTTCAGTAGGGTAAAAGTAATACAATTTTAGCCAAATAAAGTATCTATCAAGTTCTACTTCTATTTTTCTATACAAAAAAATCAGTTTAGCGGCCTAGGAAATACTGTAGCCTAGTAAAAATGTATATATATATATATATATATATCATATAAAACAGTCTCAGAAAATTTTTTTCTCATCTCAGCACCGAAAGCAACTGTGACTAATATAAATTGATAAAAGGTGTATTATTATTTCCAGATAAAAATGAAACTTTTCTATTTTTTCATACCATTGGTTCTTGTTTATGTTTCGGCAACCGATGAAGGTGATAATTGTATTTTATTTTCACAATAACTAACTTAATGCAAATTTAATTAGAATACATATTTCACTTTTTTTTTGCAGAGAGATATAAGATGGAAGTTTTCATTACAAGTCAGTAATAATTTTGTTTTATAAAAAATAGTTTGTTAAGTTTTTAAAATTTACTGATTTTAGACATATTTATTAAATTATGTATTACAGATGAAATGATCGAGCTTGCCTATAATAAGAATGATTTAATTGTAGAGGAATATTCTGGAGCAAGTAAGATATATTAAAAATAAATATGCATAATAAATCGTCAAGTTAAAAAGTACAGTTTTTATAAATGGTTTTTAAAAAAAGCACTAGGTATGTAGAACCAGTGAACAGATTATTATACTTAAAGTAGTGATTTATAATCACATAGTAAACGAAATATCGTTAAATAACTAATGCTAACCACTTTTTAATGTTATAATTTATTCTAAAATATTATTTGGTATCTATTTTGATTTGTTTTCAATTAGTGTAGCCTAAATACGTATCTGTTTGTTCTAGATGGATTGGAATATGTAATTGAAAATATGGTCAATGATGAAAATGATTACAATTCTTTCGGTAGTCCTATCTATAATTATAAAATGAAGATGAAAGTAGAAACAAATATTTGAAAATTATACAAAATTGCAGTCCAAATTTGTTTTTATGCAATTGATAAGTTTTAGATAAGATTCAGCCATTGTGTTTTCATAATGATTCCTTAGTCTAATTAATATAGCTTCTTTCTACTTTGACCTTAGTCTTCTAATTTTGTATTTCTATCATGTACTTACTTAAAATAGAAAATTAAATCTAATATTATTAATTTATATGATGACAATTTCAGCCAAAATTAATTTTATGATCGCTATACCGGGTAATAGTTTTTGTTGAATTTTATGAAAATATTTCCAACATTTCTTCCTATTGAACTTCCTATTGTACAGTGTACTAATATCCATGTTTTTCTACCTTTCTGTTAGAATAATTAAAATTTAAATGGTATATCATAAATTTATGTAATTTTTATTTTTAGATGAAACCGATATTGTCATACTTATACCGGGTAACCCTTTTCATTGTATATTATTGAATTTTTTCCGCGTAGATGTTTGATATTCATTATGCACACAAGAATTTTGTTTTAATTTTAGGATTGGAATACCTTCATGCACGTTTGATAATGACAAGTAAGTAGTAACCATATTATTATTTTTAATACTATAATTAATATAATAATATTATTTATTAAAAAATACCAATTGGACATTATATCGGTTATAATCATAAAAAAAAAATATGTAGAAAGATAACAATATATTTTTTTTAATTTTAGAATGCAGGCGTTACCAGAATGATATGCAACACGAATTGGGAATTACATTAAGTAAATAAATGATTAAAAAAAACCATAACTATACATATTTGTAGTTCTAAAGGAAACTACAAAAAGACAAATGAAAGCATAATGTCACGTAGCTCTATATGTTTTATAGTTAAGCATTTGATAACCTTTAGAAATATAATAAAAACTGTTTATTCAAATGTCGCTATTACAAGTAATTTAACATTTGTACCATAATATTTTGCATTAATTCATTGATTCAATTTATCTTAGTTTTAGAGTGACTATTACATTATATAAAATATAAAATGTTTATACCGGGTTTCATTAACTGCATAATGATTTAATGTCTTTGTTGCAGACATTGGATTTCCTGAATTTCCTTATGGCAAAGGTAATTACGAATTTATTGCTAGTCACAAATAGCTTTTAAAGCTTGTATTAGAGTTTAAATTTCCTTCATTTTATTTTATCATGTTTTAAGTCAAACAATAATTTTTAAAAAAATAAACTTGTTGTTGAGGAGAGAGAGAGAGAGAGAGAGAGAGAGAGAGTTAGACTATTATTTACCATTTATTGTGATACTTTGTACGTAATGAATATTATGTTTATTCATCAAATATGAAACATCGCAAAAAAAAAACCAATAATAATTATATATTCACAATAAACAACGTGGAAATGTCATGTTTGCAGATTTTAAAAGCATGAATTTGACAATTCTTGGAGAAGAGAGAAGACATTTTGTTAAACAGGCTTTACAAAATATATTCAAGCGTAAATTAGGTATTTATTTATTATTTAATTAATTATTTTTATGTTTATGAATCTATTTATACATAAAGTGTATTTTATTAATAAGGTGTTTAATAGGAATAATTCACTACAATATAACAAGGATACAACCGATTTTAATCGTTAACAGTAGTAGTTAACTACTGTTAACAATTAATAACAAAATTAGTGATGTATGATAACACATGATTTCTTGTAATACAAATATCATGGCTGTATTTTATTACGGATTTATTATATTATCATTTATTTTAACAAAAAAGATGGTTGTGTCCTACGCCATAAAGAAACGTAGTAACTAGTAAGATAATATTGACAACAAATACCTTCGACATATTGGTTTTAATCATTAAAAATATTATGTAGGTACATTAATACATATTTTGTTTTAATTTTAGGACCCATGTATGACCAGTTTATATTGCAACTAGAAATTAGAGATACATTAAGTAAATATACAATTTAAAATGAATTCATAATTAGGTATACATATTAGTAGTTTCAAAAAAAAAACTATAAAAAAAAAGTTCTAAGTCAGAATGCTGTATATGATTCGTAGGCAGTGCCTCCCAGTGGAAGAACAGACAATTAATTTGGCTTCAATTCATAAGCATTACCATGCCTTAATTGCCCTACGCCACATTTTCTAAAATAATCGCTGCTTCTTAAATACGTCTTAATTTCTTTCCTGTAAAACGGCGTCGCCGACATGCCCTTATTTTCTGTTTTTGTAGTCCTTGCAATACAAGTCGTGCTCAAAATATTTGCACTACAGCGTCTGTATGTTGAGTACGTAATCTAATGGCGTCTAATTATTCTAAGTTTTTAAAGTAATACTTTGAAATGTAATGCAATTATGTGTCTCAAGCAACTATAATATGTTTTATTATTTCTTCTCAACACAGTCATTTGACAATTAATTTTGTAGATTCGGAACACTTAAATTTGACCACTCTTACAGAAGGGAGAAGAGTTACTGGAACATCGATAGAAAGTTCAATCAGACACGTATTAGGTAAATACTAATATGGAGTCGAATGGGTTTTAGAGTGACTGTTATATCATAACAAATACATTCACCTGGTTTTATTAACTGCACAATGATTTGATGTATTTGTTACAGGAACTGATATCGCTGATGTTAATCAAGACCAAAGTAATTGAAATTTTTTTGATAACTGTAAATAACCTTAAAAGCTTGTAAAAGAGTTGCTTCATTTTATGTATACTACAATATTACAAAGTAGTAACTAGTAATCTAATTTTAGCAAATTAAAAAAAAAATTAATTTTTTAGCTAGATCTGTTCATGGTGTGTCTTTATTACGGATGTGCCGTTTGATGGGAATATACTTGAGTACACGATTTCCAACGTCATACATAAAAGACCTTTGGATTGACCCCATTAATATGACTTGTACCCTTGATGAAGGAGATATACGAAGAAGATTAAAACAAATTTATGGCGTATGGTGGCAAATAAGCTCAACTACTAAAAAAGCAGTATTAACTTAAATTTAGACAAGAAATCAATGATATATTCTTCTAAAATTGTGTAATAGGTTAATATAAATTGTCACAAATATCGTTTTTTATGTTGCACTACTAGCTGCCAATTAATTAAAATTTAAAATAAACACTTTTAAAAATAAACTTTTCAGAAAAGGTAGATTTGATATACTTTTTACTTCGTATTCTTTTTTCAAATATTTTTGATGGTGTAAATGTCCGAATAGACTAATATAAATTATTATCAGTGAATGTTTCTCAAAATCTTAAGTTTATTAAAGTTTTTTGAAAGTCATAAGTACGTTGCCGATTTCTATTTAATTTGATCATATAAACCTAGCATAAATATGTACATTTTAGTAATGTTAAATATTTTTGTAAGATAATATTCTGTTTTAATAAACACCATTGAGAAAATAAGCTATTTTTTTTTAATATTTGCATAGTGTATACGTGTTTACTATAGGTACGACCATCTAATTCATTTTTACATAAGTTGTTAATTAAAAAAATACGTGATAGGTTGTAGGACACTTGTCTGGTGTACTCAAAAATATATTTAATACCAACATGAATCACAGCATATAAGAACAAGTGACAATACCTAGATTTTTTAAGAAAATAACCTTTGGTCGTTTTTTATAATAGTTTTCATATTATATGGTTTGAACTCCACGTCAATGTAATGTAAATACACAATGAGTCATATTAAAAACAAAAATTAACCAGCTGTGTAAAGAAATAAACACATTACACTGTAAAAACCGGTTAGCTACTGATTTTTCGGTAGAAATGCAAGTCACAAGAAGAACATTTAGTTTCAAAAGCTGATCAAGTCGATTTTTGTCTAAGACATTTTAGTAAGTATTTCTATAAAACTTTTAAATTTGTAATTATGCTAAAACTAAAAATGCATGAGCATAATGCACCAAAAGTTTTAGGTAGTGTAAACGTTTAAACGAATATGACATCCGCTCTTAAATGTTATCCTCTTTCAACTATACAATCATAAATAGTTTTGCTTTAAATCCATCATTGGTTGATTTAGAAGCATAATGCGAAGTTATGTTTATAGACGCTTGAAAATAATGTGTATAATTTCTCTTTTCAAAATTTAACTTTATAAACAATATTTGGTTAAATACCTTTTTTCTATTTAAAAAGTTAAAAAAGACATACGTTGCCACTTTCCAGTTAAGCTGGATTAAAAAAAACCCTAGCATAATTATGTACATTTTAGTAGTATTAAATGTTCTGTAAGATAATAATCTGTTTTAGTTAATAAACATCGTTTTGAAAACTAGCTTTTTTTTTTTATTCGCATACGTATTCGTTTATTATTTTGTAAGTACTGTAATAATTTGTATTTAAAAATACGGTTGTGGGAGACTTGTCATGTTGTAGTTTAGCATATTATTTCATAATAGTTTGGAATGCTCTATGTAGCATTATATTGGTATTAATATTAATATAAGATTGCAAGTGTCATCGTGGTTATGACGAAACCTTTGGTGTTGGGTGTCCTGGACCTTTCGGTTGACACGATCAAATCGCCTAGTTAGTCAGTCGGAATTTATAGAAGAACCTCTCACATAGTTACAGAAACTCTTTAAAGTTAATTTTTATTTTAAAAGTGTAATCCGTATTTAATAGTATAAGTTTAATAATAAAAATCTACAGTTTATTTTAGTTCAATAAACATATTAATTATTCTTTCTTTTTCAAAAACACCTGCTTTATCCATTTACATCAATGTGTACACAAAAATATATTAAATATCAATATGAATCTAAATGAAACATGAAACTTAAGGAAAAATCCAAATCTGGTTGTCGACAAATCAAAATATTCAGCAAATTATTCTTAATAAAATTATTATAAATTATTTAAAAAAAAAAATCTAAAAAATATTTATCATACAAAAAACCATCTCGCAATACCAACATTTTCTCATCTCGGTACACACAGTAGGCAACTGTGTGTAATATAAGTTTATTTTATGTTTATTATTATTTGCAGATAAAAATGAATCTTTCCTGTATTTTAATCACATTTGTCCTTGTAAATGTCTCGGCAACTGATGAAGGTTAATTTATTTAAACTACCAAATTACCGTAGTTACAAATTTGAAAAATAAAAATTAAATATTTAACTTTTTTACAGCGATATATAAGATGGAAGTTTTCATTACAAGTCAGTAATAATTTTGTTTAAAAAAAAATAGTTTGTTAAATTTTTAAAATTTACTGATTTTAGAAATATTTTTTAAACTATGTATTACAGATGAAATGATCGAGTTTGCGTATAATAAGAATGATTTAATTGTAGAGGAATATTCTGGAGCAAGTAAGATATACTAAAAATAAATATGTATAATAAATCGTCAAGTAAGTTTAAATGCATCATTCTGGTTAAACAGACAGCGGCCTACCGCGGCGGACAAACTGATGGTTGTATTTTTTCACAAAGTTCGCGGCGGACTGGAATAATTTTGTAAAATAAAAAAAATATATATATATTTAATATAGACAATACACTGGATTTTCCACACGTATCAGCACTTCTAAAATATTATTATTGTTATTATATAATTATCGAACATAAAATATACAAACAATATTGATGACAACACATTGAACTTAATTTTAAAAAAATTTTCATTTTAAAATTGTGCACTGAAAATGACCGATGAAACGGAACGATTGATTGGATCTAGTTCAAAACACTTCACAAAAATGTAAAATTTAATACAATTTTTCAGCCGAGTCTGCAACCACGAATGAGCATTTTCATTTCTCGTTGAAGTACCAAATAAATTTAAAGTAGTGGTGGAATTATAGATAATGGTAGATAATGATATAGTATATTAACAAACAGTAACAAGCTCGTATCTAAGGTGCCTAGTATATTAAAACATCAAGCTTCTGGCTAATATTTTAGTGTTTAATGCTATCTGTATCTGGCTTAAAACAATTCATAAAAATACGACCTCTTAATTTATTAACTTCAATTTAGTTCGGTTCTAGTTTGAACGTTGAAAATACAGCATAGTCGGTGAAACTCCCCAAATTCTATTCTTTTTTTATTTAGTTCGTGTACCCGTTTTCTTTTTTTTCGTCTTGCTTAACTCAAGGCAAGCAGAAGAATCTAGACGTTTTGTAAAAGAAAATGAAAACAGAAAACGTGAGATAAAAAAGTAAAAAATAAAAAAACAACCAGCAGTACACTCTTGGTTGTGGCAGTTTTCACGCTGGTTCGCTCAAACTTGTCTGCATTTCTGTTTGACCGATCCTTAAAAGAAGTAGCGTTCAATAGCTAATGCTAAACATGGTTTAATATTATTCTAAAGTTTTATATGGTATCCATTTAATTTGATTTTATTTCAAACTTTTAGTATAGCCCTAAAAGTTATCTGTTTGTTCTAGATGGATTGGAATATGTAATTGAAAAAATTGTCAATGATGAAGCGTCTTTCGGTAAACATAATTATAATAATAATAATAATAATAATAAAATAAAGATGAAAATAGAAACAAATATTTGAAAATTATATAAAAATTGCATTCCATATTTATCTTTATGCAATTGATAAGTTTTAGATAAGATTCGGCCATTGTGTTTTAATAATCAATTCCTAGTCTAATTAATAAAGTTTCTTTCTACTTTGACCTTCGTCTACTAATTTTGTAATTATATTATGTACTAATTTAAAATAAAAAATAAATCTAATATTATTAATTTGTATGATGACAATTTCAGCCAAAATTAATTTGATGATCGCTATACCGGGTAATAGTTTTTGTTGAATTTTATGAAAATATTTCAAATATTCAATCGTATTGAACTTACTAAAAATATTTCCTTCGTATTAAATATCCGGTGGAGCACATTAATCCTAGTTACTAATACCCATGTTTTTTACCTTACTGTTATAAAAAATTGAAAATTTAATGCAATATTATAAATTTATGTAATGTTTATTTCAGATATAACGGGTATTGATCCGGGTAATAAGTTTTATTGTACATTATTGTAGTGTTTCCGCGCAGTTATTTAATATCCTTTATGCACACAACATTTTTGGTTTCATTCCAGAATTAGAACACCTTCATGCATGTTTGATATTACTAAGTAACTACACTTGTATATTTCATATTTAATACACTTAACGCATATTGTTTTTTTTTTAAATACTTGGAAAACAATCATATTACTTGTTAAACAAAAAACCAATAAGACATATTTGTTTTAATCATTAAAAATGTGTAGGTAGATTACAATATTTTAGCTTTTATTTTTAATTTTAGAATGCAAGCAATACCAGAATATTATGCAAAACGTAATAGGAAGTACATTAGGTAAATATAAAATTAATAAAACCGATGACTATACATATTTGTAGTTCTAACGAAAAACTATAATAAATAAATTGAAAGATTAAAGTCAAAAAGCTATAAATGATTTATTGTTAAGCTTTTGATGATCATTAAAAATATAATAAAATCTGTTTTTATTTAAATGTTGGTATTTGAAGTAATTTAAAATATATACAATAATATATTGCATATATAATTGGTTTAATTTATCTCAGTTTTAGGGTGACTGTTATACATAAAATATAAAATGTATATACCGGGTTTTATTAACTATATAATGATTTGATGTATGCTATAAATGTTACAGACATTGCATATCCTGTAGTGCCTTATGGCCAAGGTAATTACGAATTTTTTGATATTCGTAAATAGCATTTAAAGCTGGTTTAAGAGTTAAAATTTGCTTTATTTGTATTATATAATGTTTAATATCGAACAATAGTTTAAAACAAAAAGAAACGTTTTTGTAACCATTAACTGTAATACTTTGTACGTAATTGAATT